CCCCCCGCCCCCCCGCCCAGGGCTGCTCTTACAGCTGGATTTCCCCTCGGGAGGCTCCCGCAGCGCCCCTCCCCTCCCCTCGGGATGTTCCCGCAGCCTCCTCGGGATGCACCTGCGCCCTCCGGGATGCTCCTGCAGTCGGTCCTCGGCTGTCCCCCCGTCCCCCCTTCCCCTCCCAATGCTTCGGCAGCCTCCCCTCCCCTCCAGGGATGTCCCTACAGCCCCACCGCCCCGCTCCGGGATGCCCCCGCAGTCAGGGCCCTCCCCGCCCCGCGCTCCCTGCAGCCCCCAGGGACACCCCCCTCATCTCCCTCCTTCCCTCTCCCCGCCATCCCTGCCGCAGTTTTCCCCCACCCACCGGGGAGTTTGGGGACCGCAGGGACAGGGACCCGCCCGAGTCGTGCCAGGAATTCCCTGCGCTGAAGGGTTGGGGGAGACTCCCTCGAGGGATGCCCTCTGCAGCAGAGGGGGATTCCTGCCTCTGGAGGGGGGAGCTTGGGGGGTGCTAGGGCAGCCCTTCCTCAATGTCACCCAGATGTGCTCTGCTCTTCACAGGGCCAGAGAGGGACCCCGGGGAGGGAGAAGGAATCACGTCCTCTCCAGTTTGGACATGGATCAAGCCCTTCCCCAAATCACCATGCACTCCCAGTCCTGGATCCCAGTGTCGTCAGGGATGTGCTCATTTTGGGAGCTGCTGCAGGTGGTGCAGGCACTGTTGACATGCAGGAGCCAGGAGTGGGGGCCGTGTTTTTGGAGCTGGGAGATTCTGACTAAGATTCCCTGCACACCTAAAAACCGGGCTTTAAAATACAGACAAATGGAGTAAGATAATAGCGGAGGAGACAAAGCCGCCTTTCATGCCCTGACCCCTGCTGTCTCTTTTTAATAAACAAGAGCTCTTCCCCTGCAGTGGTTTCCAAGAGGAGACAATTTAATCTCTGAAAGTGGCTTATTTGGGTTTATTTTCAAAGCTGATCCTAAAGCATCTCTACTCCTGAAGCCTTGCTGCCCACATACTATAGGGTGGAAGGGATTTGAGATGCTTAATTAGCAGCAGAGGATTTCATATTTGTTGTTACACTGGATCCTGCCCTGAACAAGAGCTGCCTGATCGCGGTGGGGACATGTCAGAGGTGTCCCTGGCGCTTCCCATGCTCCTGCACAGGCTCCAGCAGGGATGCACATCCATGTCTGCGTTTGAATGGAGCCACCAGGAAAGACGGCATCCCAACCCTAGCGGTTTTGCAACCTCAAGGAAATCCCCAGCAGGCCACGGAGGATGACAAGGAGCCAGGTTTTCCACTGTGTTTGTGTAAGCAGTGGAGCCTGGATAAAAAGATTCTGGTTTGTTCTTATGTTTAACCCAGCGCAGGCAAAATAAGGGGTGAAAAAATGGGAAGGGGGTGGAAGCTGCTGTAGCCAGCTGCAGTCGTCAAGTACTCCCTTGCCTTGTGCTGCTCAGGGGCTGCAGCAGGTGCCTTGTCCCACCCCTGGCACATGAAGGCAGAGCCCTGGTGGGCCTGGGAAGCCCTGGTCACCAGCCGGGACAGCTGCTTTTCGCTCTCCGCTGGGAGGCTAATGGTTCCCCTAATGCCTGGAAACGCAGAATGTGATGCCCTGGAGGTTAACAGTGGGGTTTGGAGGCATTTTTTGTGCGTGCTGTTTCTTTTGGTAATTGTGATTCTCTGTGACTGTCTTTTTTTTTTTTTTCTCCCAATATTTTCTGAACCCCTCTTTCCCCCCTCCCCTTTTTCCTCCCGTTTGGGTCTCTATGAAGGGTTTAAGATTCAGAAGGAAGTTACATAAAGCCACAAAGCTGGTGAAGGGGCTGGAGCACAGACCTTATGAGGAGCTGGGGTTATTTACTCTGGAGAAGTGGAGGCTCAGGGGAGACCTTATCACTCTCTACAACTACCTGAAAGGAGGTTGCAGTGAGGTAGAGGTCAATCTCTTCTCCAGAATAACTACCAATAGGACAAGAAGAAATGGCCTCAAGTTGCTCCAGGGGAGGTTCAAGTTAGGAAAAATTAGGAAAAAATCCTAAATGTGGAAAGAGGTCAAGCATTGGAACAGGCTGCCCAGGGAAGTGGTGGAGTTACTGTCCCTGGCAGTGTTCAAGAAACGTGTGGATGAGGCGGTTAAGGACATGGTTTCACAGGCATGGTGGTGATGGGTTTACAGTTGGACTTGGTGATCTCAAAGGTCTTTTCCAACAATAATGATTCTATGATTCTATAGGGGCCTCAGATTTGGTTGCCCTAAGCAGGGCAATCTGCAGTTTTGGTGAGTGGCAAAATGAGTGGCAGAGTCTTGCCATGCATCACTTGCCCTGGAGAGCGCTGGGCTGCCCTGCTGCCCGCTATGAGTCAGTTGCCCATCAGAGCAGAGGTTGGCCAACACCACAACTGTGCTCTGTGTTCTGTGTGGGGCAACACAGAGACCAAGGAGCCCTGCTGCGACCTCCTGCAGCCTCCCGACTCCTCTGCTTCAGGTGATGACTTTGAAATTTCATCAGGACTTCAAGCGTGCGGAAGACAGACACAGAAAAAAGCTCTCCTACTCCTGCAGACCCCTGAGGAGCAAGAAGCGGTTCTTTTGCAAATAATTGAGCTGGATGGCTGGTGTTTTCAGAAGACATGTGAAAAGAAAGAAAAAAAATAGTCAAACAAACAGATGAGCCACCTAAGAGCAAGAGATGCTTAATGGAGAGAAGAGGGGATGCAATAGGCAGCTTGGGAAATATCAACTTGCTGTCAGGGGCTGGATCTGCTCCCAGAATGCCCAACTCCGGGTCCTCCATGGGAGGAATTTGCACATAGCAATCCCGTGACAAGAGGAGGAAAAGAGCACAGATCCACGGGGCCTGGGGAATAGTACCCTGCCATGTAGCTAGCGAGCAACTGCGCAAAGTCATAGAGAAATGCAGGCAGAGGCAGAAAAAACAGGATGGGGCAGAGAAAATGAGAATATTCTGGATTAGGGAAACTACTTGGATGAATAGGGAAATTACCTGGCTTCTCTTTGCTTTGGACACAAATCTCCGTGCAAACACCCTTTCCCCTAATGTTTTGTTCAGACAGCAGCACAAATACTGCCAGGGATGAGAAAGAGATATCCAGTGGCATAATTTGATCTGGAGCAATTCTGCACTGCTGGCACCAAATGAGAAAACGTAGTTTAATTCCCCGGCATTTGGGTTTCTAATCCCCATCTTCTCCCTGCCTGCAGGGCGAAATCCCGGTGGAATCACAGCAGTTCTCCTGCTGGGATAATTCAGCACAAGCTGCCTGTGAGGTCTTTGGGAGCAACCGTGGAGAGCGAGGTTCTTCTGTGTCTGCAGGGCATTTTAGAGTGCAGAACACCTGGTATTAAAGTGCACTGGTCACGTCTCTTTTCAGCATTGTTTTTCCTGCTCTTCACCCTAAGTCTAACCCTAACCTAGTTGTGAGGACAACAAGTCTTCACCTCTGCCTGCACTTTTTGTTATCATTTGGAAAATGATTTAGGATAAAATCCTTTCCCCCCTTCCCTACTATAGAGAAAGCATTTTCTACATAGGTGCTTGGTCATTTGTATATATGAAGTGACTAAAGCAGAGCCCTGGAGATAGTCCCTAACCCAATCTGAATTCTGGTTTTGAGAGACTGAAGCCTAAATAATACTTTTAAAAAATCTCGCTCATTCTAGTGTTGAAGTGCCCCAAAGAGAACGCAGTATCCAGCTGGGATCTCCCAATGCCAAACAGAGGGAAAGGATTCCTTCCCTCACCTGTCTGTAGCACTCTGGCCAGTTCCATACAGTGTTTGGTATGTTTTTAGCATGAAAATCAGCAAGGAACCCAAGGTCTTCTTCGATTTGCTGTTGTCAGATGGGTGATCCTTATGTGCATGTCACGCTGAAGCTTGTGGTAGTGGCTTCAAAAATGACAGCAAGAAGGAGAAGGTCCTAATTCTTCCATCACAGACGGAGTGGATGCTATCTCCTGAGGGCATGGATGTGTAAGGAGACAGCCCAAAGAGTGCAGGGATAGAGCTGATACCAGGAAGGAGGCAGTGTGGTATAGGTGATAGCTGTACCCTGTAACACTTCCTGGCCACGATGCTCTGTACGTCTTCTTAAAGCTTTCTAGAAAATAGTGAAAAGAGCATGCTAGGATCAAGGTCTGTGCCTCAGTGCAAGTCAGAGACTTGCATTGATTTTATCTGCACTGAAGGATGGGCAAAAACTCCTAGGGTCAAGGCCAGTTTGAAAAAAAAATAGTATTTTTTCCTCACTCTTTGCTTGTAAACACATTTTAGCAACTCCTACACCTGTTCCTCGGGGTAGGGACACTCACCGCCAGTTCACTGTGCAGCAGCAATCCTATCTTTGTGGCCTCTCCTGCTACTCATTTTATCTCTAAACAGTTTTCTTGAGCCTCATCACCATGGTTGTTAGCTGACATCATCGCTGCTTCGTTTCAAGGCTGACACATATTTTTAGCTTTTCACCCTGTTTAAAAATGGCAAAAACTGTGGCTAATTTAAAATACTTGCCAGCTTCCTCCTGCAAAATGCACTGGATCTCTGAGTAAAGAGGCTCAGCGTCACCAAGCAGACGCCAGACCTTTGGTCATCAAGACATCTCCATGCAACTGCTCTTGAGGGTTATCCTTTCAGTTAAGAGCTGTTTGCTGGTTTTAGTTCCTTGTGGGAAGACAGCCTTGTATTTGCACCAAATGGAATTCTGCATCTAGGTGCAAGCTGGGATCCCTCATGAAGGACCATAATTTCAGAGGACAGTTCTTCTATCTCCAGGCTACTTCCATTGCACCAAAGCTCATCTCTCCCTCACCTCCCTGAAGCAAAGACCCACCACATTTGCAGCCCTGAAAGGGAGATGGAGCATTTGAACTCAGCCCCGATTCCAGCTTTTGCTGGTAGATAAAATCATCCCAGAGGCTTACACATTTGTTTGCTAGTATTAGAGCTTCTAATTGCTGTTCATTAATTTTGCAAAAATAGTGGAGAAGAACATTTTTTGTTGTGTGTAACTGTGGGCTGAGGTCAAGGACTTTCTCTTTTTTAATTCAAAAATTAAAATGACTACAGTTAAACATGTTTTGAAATATGTTCTATGATAGTGGCCGAGCAAGGCTACTACTTGCCTGCATGACAATCAAAACTGGCTGTGAAATATGACTTTGCATATAACCAAAAACCCACTAAATCATTAACATCCCTTCCTCTCTCCCCCCATCCTCCAAAAGGCTCCTTGCAAGCAGGTTTTTACGTAGCTGGTGGAAGTGCCTTGTAGAGCCCTTAGGGAACAGGGCACCAGGTTCACGAGCCATTGACTGCAAGGGACTGCAGAAGAGAGGAAAATGACTTTCATGATATTATTTCTTCTTGTGAACTGGAAGCAGTCAGCTTCTCATCTGTCCCTGCAAGAGCTACAGACACCAGAGGCTTCAGACACGTCTAGAGGAAACTCCTCTGTTTTAATTTTGCTGCCACAGTTTCCCAGCTATGCCTGCAAAACAAGGTGCTGCTCTGGGATCTGCTTCATTCCACAAAGGGAGCTCCTGGCATGGATGGCTTCCCCCTCCAGGAACCACTCAGCTCAGGTGAGTCCAAAAAGAGAGAATTAGTAGCCCATAGAGGGTGCCAGTAGCTGCCACATAGGGCAGGACTCAGCCTTCTGGCACAATGTACTGAGCTCCTGGCGCTGTGGAGACACTGACATAGTCTTAGCTGAAATGAAAAAGGCACATCATAAATGATGAACTCAGAAATCCTTTGGAAAAGGCAGGAAGGCATGAAGGCAGGAAGGGAGGAAGGAACCTTC